ATCTGTTGTTCATGGGGTGCAAGAGCCAAAGTGCCATCACTCAACAGCACCTAACAACAACCACCACCACCCAGTTGGGAAGATGGACATTAACCATACACGATAGTGCTTTGAGGACTGTTAATAGCTAAATTTGGTCCTTCTTGAAAAGCAACTGCTGAACAAAGATGTGAAGGAGCAGAAGTCATTAACAAAGTCTGAGGGGTGACGTAGGAATAGTGCTCATGATGGGAAGGAGCTGACCTCATTTTATTATTTCCTCTAGAGTTTCCTTCCCAAGGAGCTCTTTCTAGGCCACTTTTCTTCTCAAGTTCCCTTCCTGTACTTTCTCTTGCTCTCCTTGCTTTTTTCTTTTCTTTCTCTTCTGAACCCATCAGTAGCACACTACTTATGTCACCTTATGATTAGATCGTATTATTTCTCTCACTAGAACACAGACTCCATGAGGATACTGATTTCATTTGACTGCATAAAATTATTTCCCCGCCCCCGTTGTGTTTTTTTTTTGCCTCACCTAGTGCAAGGCTTTCCAAAGATTAGTTGTTATTATTTTTTGTGCCGTCAAGATTCAGCACTGGAAAAATCCTTGGTAAAAGACCAAAGATGGGCTGAAACCTGAGTGTGTGATTGCATAAAATTCTTAAGGCCACATCCTAGAGGCTCATTCATTCAGTGTCTGCTGATGAATGAATGAAGGGCACCTACCAGAAAAAAAGCCAGGGAAAATGTGGTGAGCCGAGGCCAAAGTGAGTGTGGAGACGTTAGGGCCGTGTCTTTATCTCAAAGGCAATATGGAGTTACCGCCAGGTTTAACCAGGGTTGAGAGATGACGAATGACACACACATACATATATGAGTCATGACACACACATACATATATGAGTCCCCAAAAGATTATTTCAATCCTTACCTCCATCCACAATTCTACTCCTGAATCAAACCTGAATTGCAATATCTTCCTTCCACTTTCACACCTCATCTCAAAACCTAGCAGACCTCAGGATCTCAGTCCCCTTTGACTTGACTTGGCCTGAAGACACTGTAACTTTCCCTCGATGGTACCGGAAGGGTGCCACAGTGAAGGAAATGGACTGGTGATTCCTAGTTGGCAGGAGCTGCCCTTGAGAGGTGAGACAGAGGAGGGCAGGGCCAACAAAGGAACCAGGAAAAAGGCTCTCTTCCTGCTTGCCGAGTCCCAGATGCTATCCACTGGGAGTATAACTCAGAACTTCTCTCACCCGTGTTCCAAATCTTAGTCTCAAGACCATCCTAAACACAGCCCTGTTCCAAGAGTTGACTCTACCTTGGTCTCCAACACTCTGTCTTCTGTGATGCTATCTGCTTCTCTACCCTCATCCAATTTATTTTATTCAGATCACTTAGTATCCAAACTCTTGTTCTTGTTACATATCATCAAGTTGGAACTGACTCATAGTGACCCTCCAGTGGGTTTTCAGAGGCAGTAAATCACACAGGGGGGGAGACTGCACATCTTTCTCTCAGGGAGCAGCTGGTAGATTCTAATCTCATGTCTTCAGGTTGGCAGTTAAGCTTCTCACCACAAAGCCACCAAACTCTTAGCATCTGTTTATTTATCACTTCTTCTCCTTGTCTCTTACTTACGCTCCATGCAGGTTTTATAACTGCAGTGCTTAAAATGGGTACATATATTCATTCCTCCACCCACTAATTTAGTACCTATCTCCTAAATGTGCACAATGTACCAGGCAAAAAATGTGCTTGATGCCACCAACAAGGAATGGAGGATGCCTACGTTTTCAGCTGCTGATCTAAAGGCCAGTGATTCAAACTCTGAAAGTTTAGTAGCAGAAAAAGACTTGTAATTTAGTGCTAGAAATATTTTGGTCTAGGAAGGTTGCTCTAATATGTCATGTAGGGTTGTTATGAGTTGGAATCAGCTCAACAGCATCCAACAACTGCAAGTACCATCAACACTTCAGCTCTCTTTTACTTGAGCCCAATCTATATGATAACCTTCTAGAGGTGTCCACTGTTCTGACTTTTAAAAGCATTACCTATTCTTCCAGGATCCCCCATGTGTAATGTCTCACGAGTTCATTGTTTTTCAATGCTGCATAATATTCCGTTGTGTGAATGTACCATAGTTTTTCTATCCATTCGTGAATGAAATGTCTCAGTCACAAAAGGACAATCATTACATAAAACCACTTTTATAAAATAGGACAGATGGGGGCAGGGCTGGGGAAAGAATGAGAAAAGAGTGGTTAGATAATGAACACTGCAGTAGATCAGATGAGAAGAAGAACTGTCTAGAAGGACTATATGATTAGGCATTATATGTATGACAATAATCAGGAACAAAGGGTGCATAGTGGGATGGGCTAGGAGAGGAAGAAGGGAAGGTAGGAAGAAAATGAACAAAAATAATAATTTTTTTTAAAAAAGGCATTGCCTGTTCTTGAGTCTTCTATCAATGGAGTCATTGGTGTATGTACTTTTGTATCTATCTGCTTTTGTAATCTTTGTGAGTTTTGCCCATTTTGTAGCTTGAATTTTAAAAAACAACACTGTGCAGAATTTTATTGTGTGAGTATTTTTTAATTCTTTCAAAAATATGATATACCTATACCATACATCTATATCTATAGACCTCTGGTAGACAGTGAAAAGAAGCTGCACTGCAATCCCAAAGGCAGATGTTTCAAATTCACTAACCGCTCTTCAGAAGGATGGACACTTTTCTCCCACGTAATTTATTATCTCTGAAAATCCACTGGAGGGTCAGCTATGAGTTGGTTCCAAATCAATGGTATACTACCATCACAACAATTAGATCTATATCTATAATCTATATCTCAATATTAGCCATGATTTATAAGAGAAGAATGGGAATCCCAGAACACTTAATTGTGCTCATATGAAATCTATACCTAGATCAAGAAGCCATTGTATGGACAGAGGAAGGGAACACTGCATGGTTTAAAATCAGCAAAGGTGTGAAACAAGTTGTATCCTTTCTCCATATGTATTCAATCTATGCTGAGGAAGTAATTCACTAAGTCAGACTCTATGAAGAAGAATGTGGTATCAGGATCGGAGGAAGATTCATCAACAACCTATGTTATGCTGTTGACATAATTTTGCTTGCTGAAAGTGAAGGACATAAAATGCTTGCTGCAGATCAAGGACCTTCAGTGTGAATTACAGCTCAACATCAAGAAGGCAAATATTCTCACCACAGGCCCAACAGTCAACATTATGATAGTGAAAGGATTGAAGCTGCCAATGATTTATTCTTCCTTGGATCAACAATTAATATCCTTGGTACCAGTAGTCAGGAAATCAGGAGATTTATTGCATTAGGTAAATCGGCTTTTAGGGAACCACTCCAAAATGCTAAAGAGCAATGGTATCGGTGTGAAGTCTAAAGTGTGCTCAGTTCAGGTCATGATCTTCTCAATTACTTGCTATGCGTCAGAGAGCTGGATAATAAATAAGGATGACAGAAGAAGAATTAATGCTTTGAGTTGTGGTGTTGGAGAGGAGTACTAAATGGATTGGAAAAAGAACAAACGTACACGTCTGCAGCCAGAGTGCTGCTTGGAGGCAAGGATCACGAAGATTTACCTTTCATATTTTGGACATGTAGTTAGATAAGGCTATTTCTTGAAAAGGAACATCATGCTTGGAAAGATGGAGGGTCAGTGAAGGAGAGGAAGATGACTAATGAGATGTAACACTGTGACTTCAGCAAAGGGCTCCAGTGTCTCAGAGACGATGAGGAAGGCACAGGATAGGGCAGGGTTCAGGTTGGCTGTTCATAGGGTCACTATGAGTCGTACTGGACTTGATGGCACCTGACCACCATTACATTTTATATTTGTAAAACATGACACTTGGGATGTTAGTATTTTTCTAATATTTCTAGTAATGTCTGAGTCAGCAGCATTGATTATGTTCATTGTGTTGTGCAACCATTACCACTGTCTACTTCCTAATTTTCCCATCTCTCTTAACAGAAATACAATGCCCTGAAGCTGTATTTCCTGCGTTCTGGTTCCTTCCCACTCCTGGTAATGAATAGACCTAGGTCTTTATACATTTGCAGGTTTGGGACATTTTGTACACGTCAAATCATACAATATTTATTCTCTTGTAGTTGACTTTTACTTAGCACAATGTCTTCAAGGTTCAGCCATGTTCAGTGTATCAAGATTTCTGAGTTATGTAGCTTTATTCTAATGCTCCAAATTCCACTCACATTTCTGATTTCTCCAGCCAGCAGGCATCGCCCTCCCATCTTCCTTATCCCCCTCCAGTGTCTCTAGAGTTTCTTCATGCCCGTGTAGTCCCTGTGCCTCAGGTTCAACTCCCACCACCTTCACTGGAACAGAAAGGTGAGCCAGCCTTTCGCTGCAGCCACTACCTGCCCCACTTCCTAAAGCAGAATTCCAGGCAGAAGGCCAGCTGGACCACAAGTTTGTGCTACCCCCACCCCCCGCCAATCCCCACCCATAGGGCCCTCAGAACCAATGCAGGTCGCCCCCATGCCTGTTTAACAGGGATGCAGGCACTGTAGCCTATAGGGGTAGGCAGAAAGAAAGAGCTTATTAGGCTGATAAAGATCTGAGGGCCAGGTGGGGCCCTCTACCCCAACTTCTCTGGGGCCCTGACTCAGGCTGGACTGGCTCCCCCACCCTGGAGACTCCGTCACTCACTGCATCTCTTTCCGCCCTCTCAGAGGCAGGCCCAGTACCCTGCAGTCACCTCCCTGGGCTCTAGAGGGCTGGGAGCCCAGCTCTGCTCACCCTACCACTGCTGGCCCCGCCCCAGCCTTCCTGGCAGCTCACAGGCAGGCCAAGGAGCATCTTCCCCTTCTAGACTGTCACCTGTCTTGCCGCCTCACCTCAGGAGGCTGGCTCTGTCCATTCCTCCGTGCTTGGCCTGGCTTGGCCCACTGTGGCCCATCCACAACGTCTGGAATTGAGCCCCCACCACCTGCTTCCTGAAGATCAACCATGGCCACCTACAAAGTCAAGGTGGCCACGGGAAGAGACCTCTTATCAGGGACACTGGACTCCATCTCACTGACCATTGTTGGGACCCAAGGAGAGAGCCATAAGCAGCCCTTGAACCACTTTGGACGTGACTTTGCAACTGGGGCAGTGAGTATCTGTGCATGTGACAACTGGAGATGGGAGTTCATTGAGGTGGACAGAAAAGACATGCAGAGGACCAGAGAGTGACCAGGAGAGCTCTGATGGAGAGCCTTGGGAGAAGCCTGGGCACAGCGCGGTCCCGGGGATAGAGAGGGTGAACTCTGATTGCTCACCCTCGTCCTGGCTCCCCATCTGCCTCCCTAAATAGGCCCCAGGACATCCTTTCCTCTAAGCCTGGTTCATTATCTTTTATCTCTTCCTGGTCATTCTTCACCCTTCCTTCTCCCTTTTCTTAGCTCCTCTTTCCCTCAGACCTTTCCCTCTGTCTCCATCCTTCTGTCTCTCAGCCTTCTCCCACCCCTTTTCTCTATCCCTCTTTTCTCCTACCTTTCGTTTCTATGTTCTCTCCTCCTTTCCTCTCTCATCCCTCTCTCTTCCATTCTTACTAACTCTTGCTAAGTCAGTTGCATCATAACTGACTTAAATTTGCATTGGATTCTCTGTGACTTAGAATGGCATTTGACCAGCCTGTCCAGTAGGGACCTGTCTGCTTTGTGATGGAAGATACCCTTAACAAGGAACTCAGCCCTGACTTTGAGCCAGACCCAGCCATCTACTGTTGTATGGCTTGAATTGGCCTCTTCTGAGGATCCACATTTTTGCTAATGAATGAATAGGCTTCTGGGCTCCCCTTGCATCTTTCCATACACCAACCCATAGGGACCTGTATGGCTTCTGTAGCCTCAGGAGAGTGGGGAGTGAGTGGAGGAGAGGACGAGACCTCCCTGACACCAGAGCTGGAAATTCAGAGGAGGGACTGGCTGAGGTCCTGTCCAGTCCTGGGTGGATGGACTTAGTAGGGGACAGCTGGGCTGGAGGTGGAAATCCAGCCTCTTATTGCCCTAATTCTGGGCTGAGCATCACCCAGGTGAGCAAGACTTGGGTAAGGGGCTGGGCCATGAGTGACTGAGGAGCCAGGGTTGAGTCCTGCCCTCTCAGCCACCTCTGTGCCCTGCCCAGGTGGACGAGTACACTGTGCAGTGCCAACAGGACCTGGGTGAGCTCATTATCATCCGCCTGCACAAGGAGCGCTCCTTCTTCCCCAAGAACTCCTGGTACTGCAACTACGTGCAGATCTGCGCCCCCAATGGCCGAATCTACCACTTCCCTGCCTACCAATGGATAGAAGGCTACGAGACCTTGTCACTCCGGGAGGCTACAGGTGAACACTTACTCCTCTGTCCTGCGTTGGGGCTGCATGCACTTGGCACCTGGGGTGAACCCCCAGCCAGGACCCAGGGAGAACAGTCAGGATACACTTCTGTACGTCCATCAAGCCAGACAGGAGCCAGCTCCACCACAGGGACACTCAGGCAGGATGCTGGCTGGGCAGGAATACAGAGGTGTGGAGTTTAGAGCCTGGCTGGAGACAGTGGAGCACTCATTGCTTCCACACTCCTCCCCTGGATGACTGCAGGGTACCCCGCTACTGGGCGCAGGTCTCAGGGCTCTACAAGGAAGTCCTATCAAACAGCCTGTCCTGTTACTCAGACAAGATGCCCTAATACACCAATAAGATTCTGTTACTACATCTGTAGCCTTGACATTCTAACAGGATGTCCTGTTCTAACTTAACGCGTTTTTATTACTGTCAAACACAAAACTCAAACTCATTGCTGTTGAAGCAGACCTGGCTCAAAGATGTCCTTCCACTGGCTTTCTGAAGCTGTAAATTGCACAGGCATTTACCCATTGCAGATGTTAGGTTCAAATTGCCAGAAAAACATGACCTGTGGGTTAGCAGTTCAACACACATCACCACCACCACCCCCCCTTCGTCATGGACCTTAAGATGCAATGGTCGATGGTTCTCTAGGAGGGAAGCTATGCTGCAGTCCCGAAGGCACACAGTTCGAGGCCACCAGCTGCTCCATGGGAGGATGGACAATCTCCTCCCATGCAATTAACTGCCTCTGAAAACCCGCTGGAGGGTCAGCTATAGGTTGGTTGCCAACTTAATGGTAGACAACAGCAACATCATAAGGCTTTGGATTTCTTGCTGAGCATATTTATATGGAGGAGACATTCTGTTGCTCCCTAGGATTCCAGTCAGACCCTATTTCTTAAACGGGGCTTACTGTAACTGCAAACCAACCAACACCAGTTGGTGCTAAGTGGTGGCGACCCACATGCAGCACAGTGAAGCTGTGCTCCACGAGGCCTCATTCGTTCTAGATTGTCAGGCCTTTCTTTCCAGATGCATCTGGGTAGACTTGAACAGCTCATCTTTCATTTATCAGCCAAGAGTGTTAACCATTAGCCCCACCCAGGGAATTTCTTCTAAAAGACCCCCTTAATCCAGTGAGTTCCATCCCAGAATGGTGCCCAGTGTCATTCGGACAATCAGGTTTTCTCTGTGGTGGTCTGACTAAGGTCTCCAGGCACTTGGTGCCTCCTCTGGGACAGGGACAGGGACAGGTACAGGACCTGAATTCCTCAGCTCTGTGTGTTCACCACTGCCTAAAGCACCTCAATTGTGGGTATTGGATCAGTATCCCCACACATGACACATTAGGATTATCCTCTACTGAAGGCTTGCTCTTGTTAATCCTCTTGGTCTCACCTTGACCTCACTTTGGTCTCACCTTTATCTCAAGGATAAGAGTGGAGGGCAGAGCTGAAAGGTCTCAGGGGTCCTGTCACCTCAGATTACCGGGTTCAGCTACCTCTCTTCCCAGTTTCCAAGCCCCTGTGGTTTAAGTTTTCTGGGAGGAAGGGACAAGGGCTTGAGTTGGAGAAAGGAGAGGCAAGGGGCAGAGGAAGGCAGGCCTGAAGAAAGGTGTGGTTGCAAAGATTGATGCCTCATTGAGGATGCAAAGTTTTTTCCCATAGTGACAGGCCTGAGTTACCATAGAAGCGGAGGACCAGCAGGGTGATGCTAGTGGCCAAGCAGGAATGAGGTTGGGTGGAGTAGCTGCCAAGCAACATTAGGGCAGGGTGACTTGAGTCACCTGCTGGGCCCTCAAAGGAGTAAGGCTCCCACCCTGGGGATGAAACCAAGCTAGGTCTCTGTGTTACACAACTCCATGGGGCACCACTCATCCACAACACATTGACTGAGACTGATGTGTGAGGAGGAGGGTGGTTACGGGAAGGCTTGAGGGAAAGTCATGGAGTTATGAGCTGATCTGGCAACTACTTCCACTTACTGACTGTGATGCCCGGGCACATTTCTGAATTCTTCGACGCCTGGGTTCCCTCATCTATAAAATGAGGCTGACATCAGAATCTCCAATGGAGGGTTATTGTGAGAATCCAGTAAAGCAATTTCTAAAAGTTCAGAGAAGGTGCCATAAACAATTACATAACTTCTCTAAGATATGCAAATTTTTAAGTACAGGCTGATTACCTAAGCAGGCTGACAATTCAAATCCACTCTGAGATGACCTGGGGAGTCTGATGTGATGCAGTTCTACCCTGTACCACATGTGGTTGCTGTGAGTTGAAACCAACTCCATGATGTGTGTGTGTGTGTGTGTGTGTGTGTGTGCACACGCACGCACACACACACACAGGGATCATGTGGTGAGCCACCTGTTAGGAGCCATACTTGTAATTCCAGCATCTCTGCTTTCTCTCTATGTAATAGTCACTCTTTTCTCCTTGGGTTTTTTCTTTTCTTTTTTATTTAATTGTGATTTTAACAAAAGTTTGCAGAAAAGTTGGATTTTCACTCATTCTCTGTTGCACATTTTCCTCCCTACTCTCCCCAGTTTTACTTTTTTAAAAACATTCATTCATTGTTGCATAATTTCCGCCATTCCTTCCCCCAGTCCACTTTGCTATGCACCTCTTATTCTAGACTGTCATGCAAATACTGCTTAATCATAAAATCCTTTAAAAAAAGTTCTTTCCTTCATCTGTTCAAATGTAGTGTTCATTACTTATTTCCTCTTATCTTAGTTTTCCCCCCACTCCCATGTCAGTCCTGTTTTAGAACAGTGGTGTTATGCAGTATTTGTCCTTTTGTGATGGAGATATTTCACTCAGCATAATGTCCTCCAGGGTCACTCATGTTGTGTAATATTTTATTAATTTCTTGTTTTTCAGTGCTGCATAGTATTCCATTGAGTCAATGTACCATCATTTTTCTATCCATTCATCTATTGATGGAAACCTAGGTTGTTTCCATTCTCTTTGCTATTGTGAATAATGCAGCAATAAAAATGGATGTGCATATATCTGTTTGAGTGGCATCAGATTTCTTTAGGGTATATTTCTAGTAGTGGAATTGCTGGTCAAATGGTTATTTCTATTTCCAGCTTTTTGAGAAAGTGCCATACCGCCTTCCTTAGTGGTTGCACCATTTTATAGTCCCACCAGCAGTGAATAAGGGTTCCAATCTCTCTGCAATTATCATCAGCCTTTGTTGTTTACTGCTCTGTTGAGCTTTGCTATTGTTATTGGGGTGAGATGATATCTCATAGTTATTTTGATTTGCATCTCTCTGAAAGCTAGGGATTTTGAACATTTCTCTATGTGTTTGTTCGCCATATGAATGTCTTCTTTACATCCCTTTCTCCTTGTAAAATGAGACCTTTAGCTGAAGTTATTGCAGCTAGATGAGCTTTGAAATTCTAATTTTTATAAGTATTCCCTAGTTAAATATACTAATGTTTGTAAAAAAAAAGAGAAAGAGTTACATCAAGTGTATCAAAGACTATAGATATAAATACAGGGAGCTCTAGTGGCCTAGTGGCAAGAAGCTGCACTGTAGTCTTGAAGGTGCATGGTTTGAATCCACCAGGAGGGGCAATCTCCTTCCTGTGCCAGTTGGATCTGACTTTATAGTACACACAACAAGACCTTGTGGAGGATCTTTGTATTTAAAGTCAGTTGTTATTTTATTTTGGAGGGACATTCTTTTAAGTGGTTCAGCACTCATCTGTTAATATGCTGTATTGAGCTAACCTGGGGTTGCTGTGATGTCGAACCTTGTGCCATTGGGTTGTCAAATGCTATAACTGTTACCCATGGTGGACAGTGTTTGGTGAAGCTCCCAGTTAAAGGCAGGCTTGGAAGCAGGAGTGGCATCCACACAACAGCCCTAAACCCTGCTCTATCCCTTGTCAATCTTATTGTCTCTGACACAGCTATCCCCATTACCCCAGTGACTGAATCAATCCATCTCATCAAGGGTCTCCTTCTCCTGCACTGTTCCTCCACCCTCCCAAGCATGTCTCTCTCCAAGGACTGGTCCCTCCTTGCAACATGTTCAAAGTATGTTAAGATGAAGCTTCAGAATCCTTGCCTCCAAGGAGCAGCCTGGCTTCACTCTTTCCAGGATGGACTTGTTTGTTCTCCTAGCAGTCCATGGTATATTCAGAACTCTTCTCCAGCACCACAGCTCAAAGGTATCAATTCTCCTTCTATCATCCCTAGTCCAACTCTCTGATTCATAGCAAGTAATTGCAAAGACCATGGCCTGGCCTATATCAGGTGCAACTTAGTCTCCAGGCTGACATAGTTGCTCTTCAGTACTTTGGAGAGGTCTCTGACAGCAGGCTTTCCCAATGCGTCTTTTAATTTCCTGGCTGCTGGTACCAAGAGTGTTGATTATGGAGCCAAGCAAACTGAAGCTGTCAACAATCTCAGTCTCAAGCTCTTTTCTATCATGATGCTGCCAATCAGCCCACTGAAGGCTGGAGTCCTTGACCTTCTGCAGCAAGTGCTTCAGGTCCTCCTCAGTTTCAGTATATGTATGTGTATGTGTGTATATATCTCATAGCTGGCCCTCAAGCAGGTTTTCAGAGACAGTTAATCTCCTTCTCCTGCAAAGTTGCTGGTGGCCTCAAACCATGTGCCTTTGAGATTGCAGTGCAGCTTCTTGCCACTAAGCCACCAGAGCTCCCTGTCGTGTGTGTGTGTGTGTGTGTGTGGTCCATCAAAGAAGGATCACCAATCTACTCCTATATGATTTACAACCTCTGAAAACCCATTGGAGGGACAGCTATAAGTTGGTTCTGACTCTAGAGCACATAACAACAAAATATATTTATATTTATACTTATATTTATATTTATACTTATATTTATATTATTTATAGAAATATATAGATACACACACACATACACATATAACTAAAAAAATTCATTGCCAAAAAATTTGCAGTTGACTTACAGCTGACTGTCCACTCCTTTTCAAGAGGCAGTAAATTACACTGGAGGCAGTAACCAACCAGAACTCCATATCTATGGATATATCTTATACTATATACACACATGTTATATAAATGTATGCTATACTTGTTATAAACATGTATGTTATAAAACACATGTGTTGTAGTACATGTATACATATTATACATGTGTGTTATGTTAATGTTGTTGTTATGTACTGTCAAATTGGAAACAACTCGGAGATTGACCTGCCTTCTCCCAAGGAGCAGCTGATCGTTTCAAAGCAGGTAGTTTCAAAGCAAGTACTTTTGGATTGGCAAGGCAATTCCTTGCCATTTATCAGCGATATATATATATATATATATATATATATATATATATCAGCCCCCTGAACCTTAGCCTCTCCTAAGCCAATTTCACAGTCTCTGACATGCCTGCCTCCATTGCCCCAGTCACCATGTCAGTTAATCTCATCCAGGGTCTTCCTCTTCTCTGCTGTCCCTTCATGATGTCCTTCTGCAAGGACCGGTCCCTCCTGGCAACATGCCCAAAGCATGTGAGATAGAGTGTCAAAATCCTTGCCTCCAAGGAGGCAAGTAAAACCAAGCAACCCGGTTTTACTCTCGCCAGGGCAGACCTATTCCCCTGGCAATCATGGTATGCTCAATACCATGATTTCCAGCACCACAAATCAAAGGCCTCGATTCTTCTTCTGTCATCCTTAGTCATTACTCAGCTTTCAGGTACATAGCAAACAATTAAGAAGACCACAGCCTGGATCTGGTGCACCTTAGTCTTTAAACTGACATCATTGCTCTTTAGTGCTCTGGAGAGATCTCTGACAGTAGACTTCCTAAAGAATTCTTCTTTTCTCCTTCCATCATGACACTGCTAACTGGCCTGGTAACCAGGAACCTTTACGTTGGCAAGTGCAACCTCATGCCACTAGTCCACTAGAGCCCTAGATAGACAGGTATCTTTACCTATCTCTATAAGCTATATAAAATGACTTGACAGCATATAGCAACAACGTAACACCACCATATACATATATACATATACGTATATACATGTATACATATATACATATACTTTAAATGCCTTGTGGTAAGAAACTACACTGCAATTCCAAAGGCACATGGTTCGAATCCACTAGCTGTTCCACAGGAGGATGGGCAATCTCCTCCCATACTATTAATTGCCTCTGAAAACCAGCTGGAAGGTCAGCTACAGGTTGGTTCTGACTCAATGGTACACAACACTAACAACATTTATATCTATTAGATATATTTCTTCTTATACATTGAATATCATTAATATTACATACAAGCAAAATCCTGCTGCTGATTATCCAGAAATGACTGGAACAGTACATTGACAAAGAACTCCTAGAAATATAAGCTGGGTTTAGAAGAGGTCGTGACACTAGAGACATTATTGCCGAAGTCAGATGGATCTTGGTAGAAAGCAAAGAGTACCAGAGGAATGTCTAACTGTATTTCATTGACAATGCAAAGGCATTTGACTGTGTGGATCACAACAAATTGTGGCTAACCTTAAGGAGAATGGGAATCCCAGAACACTTAATTGTGCTTATGAGAAACCTATACTTGGACCAGTAAGCAATCTTCAGAACAGAACAAGGAAACACTTCATGGTTCAAAATCAGGAAAGGAGTGTGTCAGCGACGTGTCCTGTCTCCATACCTTTTCAATCTATAGGTAAAACAGATCATTCGGGAGGATGGGCTTCATGAGGAAGAATGTGGCAAGATTGGAGGAAGACTCATCAACAACCTATGTTATGCAGGTGAAACTTACATGCTGAAACTGAGGAGGACTTGAAGTGCTTGCTGCATAAGGTCAAGGACTGTAGTCTTCAATATAGATTGAAGTTCAACATCAAGAAGACAAAGATTTTCCCCACTGGGCCGACTGGTAGCATCATGATAGATGGATAAGAGATTGAAATTGTTAACAATTTCTGCTTGCTTGGTTCCACATGATTCTTGGCACCAACAGTCAGGAAATCAAAAGATGAATTACACTAGGAAAACCTGCCATCAGGGACCTCTCCAGAGTACTGAGGAGCAACTATGTCAGTCTAGAGACAAAGGTGCACCTGATACAGGCCATGGTCTTTGCAATTACTTGCTATACATCAGAGAGCTGGGCAATGACTAACGATAACAGAAGAAGAATTGATGGCCTTTGCTCTGTCTTGGAGAGAGTGAAACCAAGTTTCTCCATGGAGGCTAGTATTTTGAAGCTCCATCTCCCATATTTCGGGCACGTGACCAGAAGGACCAGTCCTTGTAAAAAAACATCATACTTAGAAGGGTGGAGGGACACCGCAGGAGAGAAAGACCCCAGATAAGGTGGATTGATACAGTAACTGGGGCAATGGAGGGTAGGTGTGTCAAAGTCAGCGAGACTGGCTCAGGACAGGGCAAACTTCAGAGCTACTTTACAAAGAGTCATTATGAGTTGCAGGAGACTCAACGGCACACAGCAACAATAACAACAACAACATTTATATGTAAGGTATATATATTTACATGGTGTTGTTATGTTGTTGCTACATGCTGTTGAGTCATTTCATATAGGTTATACAGATCTGTCTATGGCTCTGGTGGTTTAGTGGCAAGGAATTGCCTTGCCAACTCAAAGATACTTAGTTTGAATCCACCTGGCTCTGGATACCTGCTAAAGAGTCAGCTATGAGTTGATCCTCACTCACTGGCACATGACAATAACTATACATACATGCATTACTTGTAATCAATTACAGCAAGTTTTTTCCCACCAATGAATCTGCCTGACTTAAGAGAGATAAATACTTGTTCCAGAGCTTTTTGGATTTTGGGATTGTGGAGAAGGGTTTGTGGCCTGTAACTGACTTCATTAAGTTGTTCTTATGTGAATATAATTATATTATAAGGAAAGTGTATAAAAGTGTCCAGTACCTGGTAAGTGATACATAATTAGTTATTAATATTCCAACGACTCTAGAAGGGTAACTTCTGAGAAGCAGCAGAGGCAAAGGGCAGGCAGAGGCAGGGGGGAAAAGAGGTACCAAGTTCTCTGTCCAGGGGTGTCTCCTGGGAAGTGAAGCTGAAGTCCCAAAGCCCAGCTCCTTCAGTGACTGCTCAGCTCCAGCTGTGCTTCAGTTCTGTGCACCAAGCCCTGCAGGAAGTAGGAGGATGACTACAGGGGAACTGGGGTGTTATAGAGTTTATTTGCCTCTTATTTGAATGCCTCACATTTAGAGTAGGCAGACCTATGGGTTCCCCTCAGCCGTGGGTTCCCCTCAGACGCCGTGGAGAGGTCAGCTCAGAAGCTGAGTGACTGTGCCCTGAAGTGGACATGGGTCGGCATCATACCTTGACTCTTCCCTTTGGTTTCCCCACAGGAAAGACAACCGCAGACGACACACTACCCATCCTCCTGGAGCATCGGAGGGAGGAGATCAGAGCCAAGCAGGACTTCTACCAGTGAGAGAAAGGGGTGCAGGGCAGGGTGGGCAGAGGGTGCTCAGGGGCCCAAAGGTGTGGCTGGGCACGGGCCTACTGTCCTCATTTTTTTTGCAGCTGGAGAGTCTTTGTGCCCGGCCTGCCCAACTATGTGCACATCCCCAGTTACCAGCCCCCTGTGCGCCGCAACCCTAATCGGCCTGAGTAAGCACAGCCCACTAGTGTGACAGTACCCCAGGCTGACAGCGCCCCAGGCTGACAGCCGCCAGGCTGATAGTCCCCCAGGCTGATATCAACACAGGCTGCCCTCCTCCAGGCTGTCCCCAGGGCTCCTCCCCACCTGGTGATGCCCTGACCCAACCCTTGTTCTCCTCCCTCCAGGTGGAACGGTTACATTCCGGGATTCCCGATTCTTATCAACATTAAGGCCACCAAGTATCTGGACTCCAATCTCCGCTACTCCTTCATAAAGACAGCCTCGTTCTTCATGCGCCTGGGCCCCAAGTGAGTGTGTACGGATGAGCAGAGAGGGAGGGCTCCCCCAAGGACCAGTCTGCAACCTCTGCTTTACCTCCCACCCCACTTTTGCTCCTGGAAAGAACTGGTGGCACGTGGGGCATGGGATCCAGAGGCCCTGAGACACAGGGGGCTGAGACTGAGACGCAGATCTAACAGGAACAGAGAGGTTCAGTCAAGGGCCTGCGGACGCCCAGTGGCCTCTTTGATGCCATCTCCTCGTCCCGCCTCCCAGGGCTCTTTCATTCAAGGTGCGTGGCCTGGTGGACTGCAAACACTCATGGAAGAGACTGAAGGATATTAAGAAAATTTTTCCTGCCACCAAAACTGTCATCTCTGGTATGGTGTGGGGCATTCTGAATGAAACCCGGGGGAGCGAGGTGGTCTCAGGTGGGGAGACCATGAGATGGGTGGGGAGGGTGGCTGATGGAGATGTGGGAGAAGGGACAGGAGGGGGAAATCAAGTATGGGAGGGATGAAGATGGGGAGCGAGACAAGTAGAGGAAGGAAACATTTAGGGGAGGGATGCAGGTGGGGAGGGGAGAGGTGGGGGAGGCAAGCCACTCACGTGGCGCCCTGGGACGAAAACCCCAAGACTACAGAGGGAGTTTGGCGAGTTAGGTGGGCGCGCCCCTTGACGGACACTTGGAACATATCCCGAGCCCCGCAAGCCTTGCCAGCCCAGGTGGGAGGCTCACCTCTTGATGCACATGGTTCTGTGTCGCTGGCCTCCGTTTAGTGTCTCTCTGTCCCTGAGAGGGGTTGTGACACCACTGCGCCATCCTTCCAGAGTACGTGACAGAGCACTGGGCAGAGGACAGCTTCTTTGGGTATCAGTACCTCAATGGCATCAACCCAGGCTTGATTTGCCGCTGCACGCGGATCCCAGACAAGTTCCCTGTCACAGAGGACATGGTGGCGCCGTTCCTGTGTGAAGGAACATGCCTACAAGCTGAGCTGGAGGTGAGGCCCTCCTCCCACCCCCAGGCTCCCTCCTTCCTTCCTGGGAATTCCAGTCTCTCCTACCTTCCGGGTCCCCACCACCTCTGCGCCCCTCACCCTGCGTCGCTACCCGTGGGCCACGACTGCTAGGTGCCCTTGTCTACCTGCCCGCCCATCACACCTCTCCTCCAGAAAGGGAACATTTACCTGGCCGACTACCGCATCCTGGAAGGCATCCCCACTGTTGAGCTCAACGGTCACAAACAGTACCACTGCGCTCCCATCTGCCTGCTCTACCTCAACCCTGAAGGGAACATGATGCCCATCGCCATCCAGGTGCCCGGGGTGTAGGCTGGAGACCACTTTGTGTGTGTTGACAGCATGTGTGCATCTGAGTGAGCGTCCCGCCTCTGAGTGTGTGTTCAAACCTGTTCTAGCTGTATGTGCACCTAGGAATGAGTTTATTTGCATGGAAGCTCGTGTGCCCAGGTGAGCGTGAATGCTTGTGCACACGTCTCTCAATCTCACACCTGTGGTTATGCATGGCAGGGGGGAGTGGTGAGCTGTTTGTATGTGTGCATGGACCTTCCTGTATGTCTGTGTATGGACTGTGCCTTCCTTGGAGAAAGATCTGGGGTGTAAGCTGGTGCGCACACGTGTTCAGGTACATTTGTGTTGTGAGCCTGAGGGTGAAGGAGTACGGGTGTGTCCCTTTCTGAACATATCTGCGTGCTCCCATCATGTGTCTGCATGTCCCTGTGATTGCATTCACATGCCACCTCTGTGTGTATAGTGTATGTGGCTGTGTGTATTTGTGCCAAAGTGACCAGATGGGAATGTGATTGGCCCAAGTTCTCTTCAACTTAATCCATCCATCTATCCCTTAGACAAATCAACCCCTATTAGGGGCCAGGCCTCTGCTGGGAATATGGAGCCAGTTAAGCTCAGCCAATACCTTGGGAGAGGTAACCTGAGGTGCTTCTATCCCAGAGGTCCCGGAAAAGCCTGTACAAACTACAAAAAAGTACCCCTAGAGGGAAATAGTGCAGGCTGGGTTTCAGAATAACCTCCACATCTGAATTTGGTTGCATGGGGCTGAGGTAAAGAGAATTTCTCAAACGAGGCAGCCTGAGAGCCGGGCCTTGAATGAATGGCACTTCTAGGTACCCAGAAGAAGGCATTGAAGGTAGAAAAGCAGGAGGACAGAAAGGCTCACATGGTCAGGGAGAGCAGGTCTCTGCCCTCCTCTGACCCTCCTTCTTCTGTACCCCCAGCTCAGCCAGACACCTGGGCCTGATTGCCCCATCTTCCTGCCCAATGATTCTGAATGGGACTGGCTGCTGGCCAAGACATGGGTGCGCTATGCTGAGTTCTACAGCCATGAAGCCATCTCCCACCTTCTGGAGACCCACCTGATGGCTGAGGCCTTCTGCCTGGCTGTAATAAGGCAGCTCCCCATGTGCCACCCTCTCTATAAGGTATGGGCTCAGGAAGGGGTCTCTGGAAAGCATTCCTCTCCTCATCTGGCCACAGGTAGCAACATGGCTCACCCCCACAGTTAAGACTTGGGGAGTTAACTGGGAACTCACCAAAAAGAAAAGCTTCATCCAACAGTGACAAAGGTTGATGCTGGAGAAATGGGGTGCTTCAGGCCTTCAGTCTGCTTTGTCTCTTCCCATAGCTCCTCATCCCCCACACGAGATTCACCATCCAGATTAACAGCATTGGGCGGGCTCTTCTCCTCAATGAGGGAGGACTCTCGGCCAGGGTAAGGTCTCTGATTGCAGGGCTTCCCACTTGCCTTTAGATGATGCGGGGTCATGGCCAGAATGAAGGGTTAAAGTGAGTGATCTGTCTAAAAGGACATGGATGGGAGGCGTGAGGCCAAATGGGCCTGGGGTTTAAAAGCTCACTCACTTGGCTGTGGGGTGTGTGTGGGTCTGATGTAGGTGTGACCCCTGGAAAAGAGGACTTACTCTACCTCCTGCACAGGGCACATCCCTGGGCTTGCACGGCTTTGCGGAGGTGATGGTGAGGGCCCTGTCAGAGATCACCTACGACAGCCTCTACCTCCCCAATGACTTTGTGGAACGCGGGGTTCAGGATCTGCCCCGATACTATTACCGTGATGACTGCTTGGCCGTGTGGGATGCCCTGGAGAAGTAAGTTTGGGATAGTGGTGAGTGAACTCAAGGTGGGATGCTGGGTTGCTGGAGGGGGCTGGAGGTGGACCTGTGCCTGGGTCCAGTGCCCTGTGGGGCTCGGCCTTGGGGTCTGTATGGTAGGTATCTGTGTGGCTGGTTATGTACATATGCTACGGTGGGGCTAAAAGAGGCCAAGTGGGCCCCTTTCTTATTTTGGCCCCAGCCCACCTGTGCTGGCTGGCTGTGAACCTCACCCGACCCTTACTAAGGAGAGCTTTAAGTATCTTCACGTTCATCAGGACACTCTCTGCCTCACAGCCCTTGCCCACCCACAGGCGTGCCTCAGCTGGACCAGGGTCTTCTGGGGGAGGGGAAGGTGACTCAGGAGAGATCTGAACTAAGGTCCCATCCCCTGGTCAGGTATGTGACAGAAATCATCACCTATTATTATCCGAATGACTCAGCCGTGGAAGGGGACCCGGAACTGCAGTGCTGGGTGCAAGAGATATTCAAGAATTGCATGTTAGGACGTGAAAGCTCAGGTATGGGTCTGGATACCCAGGCACCCAGCTGGGATCTGCCAGGTAGCCCCAAGGAAGGCACATAGGGTCCTCCCAGGCTGGGGCAGAGTATGCCCTACAGCGCACTAATGAGTTTACGTCACAGCCCAAGGATTTTGACTGGGTCTTTCCCAGGTCCCTGGAGATGCCGCATCTGGAAGTGGCTGGGGAGGGAGGCAGAGCTGGCCATTGGACATCCCGGGTTGTGTTCAGGGGCCTGGGGTGAGGTGGAGTCACCTCTGCAGATACCTACATGAGTCATTGTCCCCTGACCAGAAATGAACCTTTGTGGACTGAGAAACAGGGTTTGAATTCAGACAGGAAAGGGCACAGGTGCTGGTGGGAGTTAGTGGAAGCTAGTGGGGGGATGGTGGGGAGTGAGGAGAATGATGGGGACTGACAGGTTCCAGAAGCCTCCTTGAGGTCATGTCACGTGGGCCCTCACTCAACAAATAATCATCCACCATCCATCTACTCTGTGACAAACTATGCACATTTACTGTTTACTGGAGAATGAAATGTGGTGGGTGACAAGGCTGGAGAGGGCTTTGTAAGAACCCAGGATACACTTAGCTCATCTTGGGGAGAATGTGGTAGGGTAGAGGGTGGGAATCCTAGAATGTCTAAGGACCTTCAAGGAGAAGTTACACCTTTAGATGACAGAGGCTGGGGGCTGGGAAGGTGCTGAGTGTTAGCAGAATGTGGAAAGGCCCAGAAGCCAGTGAGGACATGGTGGACGCAAGGATCTGCCCATCAATTTCTGCACTGGGACTTAGGCTGGAGCAGAGTCAGGCTTCTGCCTGGTCAAGGAGCTTGGGGTGACCCCAGGTGAGGGGGGTGTGGATGTGAGGATAGGTGTGTATGTCACATAACCGGGTCTCACTGGAGCCAGAAGAGTGCTCAGGAGGGAGGTGGCAGGGCTGGATTAAGATGGGAGCTCCAGGGATAAAGACAGCCCGTGAGTAGTTGAGATAACAGGGCTCGGTGACTGGCTTGAGCTTGGACATGGAGATATGGGAGGGAGCGATCACAGGCGACTCCCAGGCTTTAGATTTTCACCATATCAGGTGGAGGAAGCATGCTATCCCCTGAGTGGAGGGTCACAGGAGGAGTCCTTCAGGGAGGAGGATGTTGGATCTGGTTTGAATGTGCTAGGCTTTGGGAAATGGGTCACCATGGCAACCAGGGATGCTTATGAGGGAGAGAGAAACCATGTGGAATAAACTGACAGGAAGCAAGGACTCTTCCCAGTAGAGGGAAGCCCCATCCTCTTTCCTCCAGGCCTAGGGCCAGCCCCAGAGGTCAGCTGAGTCAGTAAGGGCTTTGTGGTCTGGACTGATGGGAAGGGCCGCAGGGCCGAGCAGGCATGATGAGGGAATGCATGTGGTTGTTTGGTCTTGACAAGACCAGGATGATGTGGGCTTGGCCTTGGGGTCAGCTGAGCAGCCAGGACCAGACAGGACTGCTGCTGCGTGGCTGTTCCACTCTCCCCTTAGGCTTCCCCACCTGCTTGCGCACAGTGCCTGAGCTGATCCGGTATGTCACCATCGTCATCTACACCTGCTCCGCCAAGCATGCCGCTGTCAACACAGGGCAGGTACCCGTGCTCACCATCCCCGGACCAAGCCTCAGTGCCAGCCAGCCTTGGCCCTGCTCTCTAGTGCAGCCCCAACCTGTCCCAACCCTAAATCTTGGCTTCAGTTCCACCTCAGTGACAATTCCTAATCTAACCCAAATCTGTTTCAAATCCCGTTCCCAGCTACAACTTCAGGGCTCACTCACACACAACCCCAGTTTCACTCCAACCTCAGCCCCAGCCTTCTTCTCAGCTTGATCCCAGCTCCAGCCCTGCTCAGCCCACTGCTGCAAGACAGCGTGGAGGGGAAGGTAGACTCTGGTACCAGGGCCCCCATCCCCCAGGGTCCTCTCTGACCCAGAGTCTATCCTCTATTCCACCTGCAGCTGGAGTTCACCTGCTGGATGCCCAACTTCCCATCATCCATGCGGACACCCCCCATGCAGGCTAAAGGGCTAGCCACACAGGACACCTTCATGGACACGCTGCCAGATGTGAAGACCACATGCATCATCCTACTGGTGCTCTGGACGCTCTGTCGAGAGCCTGATGATAAGGTCTCTGGGGCCTCAGGATATAGCTGAGGGTGGGGGCCTCTTAGCAAGAGTGGCTGGGAGCTGGGCGGGGTGGGGGTGGGGAAGAGGGTCATCAAGGTGGAAGTGCAATGCCAAAAGCGGGAAGCAGAGGGTCAGAGATTGCTCAAAGGGGAGGGGGGCAGCAAGGAGGTTTGGGGTGCAGCCCTGGACAATGGATAAGGAATTGGCTCCGTCCCACTGGGCTGGTTCTCTGCCCACAGCGGCCCCTGGGCCATTTCCCGGACATCCACTTTGTAGAGGAGGTGCCCCGCAGGAGCATGGAAGCCTTGCGCCAGCGCCTGACCCAGATCTCTTACAACATCCGTCAACGCAATAAGTGCCTCCCTATCCCCTACTACTATCTGGATCCTGTGCTGATTGAGAACAGCATTTCTATCTAGAACAGCCTCTCCACGTCCTCTCTGTCCTTGCCCGCCTATTTTACTCTCAGCAGATCAGCAGTCCCTCTATTAAAAACCTGGTGCAGTTTGGCGAGTGAGTGTTAAGTCTGCTACACATAGCATCTTTAGCAATGAAAAGAGGATGTATCCTAAGTGGAAATGCCTATTTAAATCGTGACTCTCCTCGCCTCATCTTTTCCATGCTTTTGACTTTTCCCTTCACCGTTTGCTATTTACTTACTGCTGGTGGCAATGTTAATATTTCTGTGAGCTGAATTCTCATCAGGACAACTTCTGGAACTGTGATGATGAAGATAGTTTTTTGTCTTTTCTCTATTCCCTTCAGAGAAGTTAACCCTTGTATCAAATGCAGCTTTGTTAAAATAATCACCACATGGTGTGAGAGCTGACACGCTCATTAATATTCTCATAATTTAAGTAATTGAGATTAGCAAAGTGTTAGCACACTTTTTTTGGCAAATCTGTAAATTCTGTGCTGTCAAATAAGTGTACGATATTGTGTTAATAATTTATTTTGATTTTTCTGTACTATTTCAAAACACAACCTTACATAAAAGGGGGAACCAAGGATATGTTCTTCAGGGTAGTGGATTTAAGAGTTCATAAAACGTTTCATATGACACATAAAACAGCATGCTTAGTTCTTTATTTCCTCCCTTGAGTTGGTGCAGCACTAGCAGCTGTCTGAAATGGAACTTCTGAGCCCTCTGTTGGCTAAAGACCAAAGTAGCATAAGTAAGATACAATTTTCTATGGTGGCTGGCATCCATAACACTCAGTTTTCAAACCAACCAAAGGTACAGCTGACATATCAGCTGATGGGGCTTCATCACTGGCAGTACATGGTTGCCTTAGTTATCCCTGAAAACTTAATAGACAGCACATTTTAGTGTTAGGCTGGATAGTAGCTCTTTGCACCATGCCGTTGGGAGCAGTTATCAGAAATGTGTCCTGCCAACCGGAGCATCATCCGGCAGTGCCTTGCTGACATACGTAGATGTTTGCCTAAAATATCCTGTGCGGTAGGGGACTTGAACCCTGCCTGCAAGGACTAAGTCCTCTAGCTCCCAATGTGCTTTCCCTTCTGAATCTCACCAACAAGCAAAACCTTTTGACACCTGCCTGCTCTTAGGAGCTGTGGGTGTTCCCAGATTGTACAGCTGCCACTGCTATAATTACTCACTTCCCTCCTGATCAGCAGGGAGACATACCTATATTGATCTCACAGGCCTTAAATGCATCTTGAGGCAGCCAAGCACCAGGCAGTGGGACCTGGCTAGCTGCCTCCATTGGAGGAAGGGCTTTGCCACAGTGGTGATCACTGCCCCAGGAGAGGGCACTGCCCCAGGAGAAGCCAGTGATGCCTACTTATTTTGGTTCCGTTTCTCTCATGTGTAAAGCAGCCTTCTTTGCTGTGGACGCTGCAATGCTCTGAAACATCTGAAAACACAGGCAATGCTTCCCTTGAGCACACATGGCTACTGAAGAGAAGCGGTCGATTTAGAAAGCATGGTCTTTCCTTTGTCATGTTGTTGTTGTTATGTGCCATCGAGTCGCCTGTGACTCATAGCAACCCTATGTACAACAGCCCTAAACTCCTCTCTGTCCTGTGCCAATCGCACTGTCTCCGACACTCCCATCCCAATTATCCCAGTCACTGAATCAATCCACCTCATAGAGGGCCTTCCTATCCTGCGCCGTCCCTCCACCCTCCCAAGCATGATGTCCCTCTCTAAGGACCGGTTTCTCCTCACAACATGTCCAAAGTATGTTAGACGGAGCTTCAGAATCCTTGCCTCCAAGGAGCCACTCGGTTTAACCCTTTCCAGGACAAATCTGTTTGTTTTCCCTAGTATTCTCAATACTCTTCTCCAGCACCACAGCTCAAAGGCATCAATTCTCCTTCTATCCTCCCTGGTCATTGTCCAACTCTCTGATGCATAACAAGTGATTGCGAAGACCATGGCCTGTATCAGATGCACCTTAGTCTCCAGAGAGACACTACTGCTCTTCAGTACTTTGGAGAGGTCCCTAACAGCAGACTTTCCCATGGCAATGCGCCTTTTAATTTCCTGGCTGCTGGTGCCAAGACTGTTGACTGTGAAGCCAAGCAAACTAAAGCTGTGTACAATCTCAATCTCTTCACCATCCATCCTGATGCTGCCGATTGGTCCCGTGGTGAGAATCTTTGTCTTCTTGACAGTGAGCCTCAATCCATATTGTAGGCTGCAGTCCTTGACACTCTGCAGCAGGCGCTTCAGGTCCTCTTCAGTTTCAGCAAGCAGGGTTGTGTCATCCGCATAACGCAGATTGTTGATAAATCGTCCACCAATCCTGACCCCACATTTCTCCTCATAGAGCCCCACCTCCCCGATAATCTGTTCTGCATATAGGTTGAAAAGGTATGGAGATAGGATGCATCCCTGGCATACGCCCTTCCCAATTCTGAACCATGCAGTGTTCCCTTGCTCTGTTCTGACGACTGCCTCTTGGTCCAAGTATAAGTTTCACATTAGAACGATCAAGTGTTCTGGAATTCCCATTCTTCTCAGAGTCAACCATAGTTTGTTATGATCTCCACAGTCAAATGCCTTTGCATAGTCAATGAAACACAGATAGACATTCCTCTGGTATTCCCTGCTTTCAGCCAAGATCCATCTAACATCAGCTACAATAGCTCTAGTACCATGACCCATTCTAAACCCAGCCTGGACTTCTGGTAGCTCTCTGTCGATGTGCTGTTCCAGTCGTTTTTGGATAATCTTCAGTAAAATCTTGCTTGCATGTGAAATCAGTGAGATTGTTCTGTAGTTTCCACATTCTGTTGGGTCACCTTTCTTTGGGATAGGAACAAATATCAATCTCTTCCAGTCAGTTGGCCAAGTGGTTGTTCTCCAGATTTCTTGGCACAACTTGGTGAGCACGTCCAGGGCAGCATCTGTTAACTGAAATATGTCAATTGGTATACCATCTATTCCTGGAGCCTTATTTTTTGCCATTTCCTTCAAAGCAGGCTGAACTTCTTCTTTCCTTTGTCATAGCTCAAGTTATTTAGCCTTGGGGTGGGGGGGGGAAGAGAATAAAACACACACACACACACACACACCCCCCAAAGAGAAAAAACAAAATTTTTTAAAAATAGTCTTACTCTTTCTTACGTGGCAGGTGAAGTTGAAAACTACTACTGATCCCTTTCCCTTCACATATTCTCCAGTTAGCTGCTTTATCAGTTCCTAGTCCTCCAAAGTAGTGCTCTTCCTGTGTTTGCTGGTGCCAGGTTTCTTTTTCAGGCAAGAGTTCCACACTGGAAAGTAGAAGTTGGAGATGGTACTTACTACCTATGTACAGAGGCTATGTGTTCTCTCTCCACCCCTCCTCACCTTTTTATTTCCCAGCTATTGGTTCATTGCAGAAAGGAGGAAAGCATAATTTTGTTTTCTAACCAGACTCATTCTAATTGCCTGGCTGGTTTTCTTTGGGTGTTTTTTGTTGTTGTTGTTTATTTTGTTCTTTTTAGTTTTGGGTCCCCCCTTTTTTCTTTTATTAGAATCAGGAAGACACACCAGCCCAAGTGTATGAAGCCTCTAAAACCAGGGCGAGCTTCTTCTTATCCTGCCCTCTGCTGAGAAGCCCGCCCTTCTGTCCTAGATATCCCTTTTTCACTTCATTATCCTCACATCAAAAACGGGCCCTCCACAGGTCTCTGAGGCATGGAAGAGGCGAAAGATTGCCCATCTTTGTCTGTAGGCACCACTGGTGTATTCAAACCAAGAGAGGCTCAACCCGGATATGCTGAACTGTAATCCACATTTTGGCAAGATCCCGGAGTAATTTTTATGTATTCATCATAATCTGTAAGAATTTGGGGGTCTAGAAGACTCACTTGTAGATCATGTTAAAATGTACTCTGATTCAGTATATGTGGTAGGTGGAATGGCACATTGTCAGCTGGGGTAAAACTGGAATGAACTAGTTCCAAGTCCTGTCTCAAACATACAGTTACTAGTTACTGAACATGGGACCCCAGTGTCAACAGCACAAACCTCCAAAGAGCGTTGTTCTTGGGATCCCTGAGTCCCTTAGGAGGCTGAGAAGAATTCCTCAAATCAACCAAATCCTCTGCAGTACCAGGTGCTGTTCAACAGGAGAACCTGCCTTGCGTCAGAAAATTCTGCTTAATAATGAGTGATCCAGATTGCTTATGTGAAATGAAGACACTTGTTCCTGAGATAGCTAGATTTACCTCCGGTGACCAGAAAGTAATTTGTGTCATGTGAGAAAAGACTAGATGACCATTTAGGAGGCTGTCTTGATGATTTTCTGGTGGTTTCTTCCAGCAGGTTGGAAGTTTTCTGAGGTAACTGCAGCTCCCCTGCATCAGTAATCTCAGAGTAGTTTTAAACGTCTCTTTTTCTGGATCCTTTGTAAACATAGAATCACCCCATGCCTTATAATTTTTTATCTTTCCACCTTAATTGCAAATGGTTAAAAAAAACCCTGCTGCTTCTGATTTGTTTTATGAGAACACAGCTATGCTCACTACTATACCACCACCATCTACCTGATGTGTTTTATGGCATTAAATTTGTATTAGTTAAAAAAAATCTTAAAATACCTTCAAGGATCGCAGAGCCATTTTCTGGGATGGGGCCGGACCTGAGTGAGCTGCTGGGGGCCGGTCAGGGTCAGTTTGCACTAACTGGAACCTGTCACTTCCACTGCCCTGCTGTCCATGTCAGCGGGGTCTAAGCAGGTACAGGGCTGTGCCTGATCCCAGTTCTGAATGTCCCATGAGACCAGGGCGAGTGGCACTGGAAGGCACTGGATTTACTCATAGGAGGGTGCTTGCCCAGGTGTTGCTGGGATGGTGGGAGAAAGGGCGGGAGCTCTACTGTCCCCATTCCTGGCCCCATCTTTCCACCTACTGTGATTCTGGTCCATGCAAGCCATCTCCTTAGGTCCTTAGTCCACCCTAGCCT